TCCCACAGATGTGATAGCAGCAGCCAGATGCTTGTGTCGGAACCTAAGTCACTTGAAGGCGTTTGCCGGTAAGTATCCGTATAAATAGGTACTTGAAACCTATGTGTCGTACTTAGCGTAACGAAGTTTACAAAGCCGATATAAAAGGAAATATTGTGACTTGCTTGGTTAATTCCGCTTGAATTTCCCCGATTTATTCTTTTGTTTTATTCCTTTTTTACTGTCATGGGATATCCGTCTGAGAAACTCTTGTGTGCTCGGCTGATGGCAGAAATTCCATTTATTTCATTACCGCACCTTACGAATCTAAGATCATGTCCGCCTGTCAAAAACGGAATGCAGAAGTTCGTGTAGAAATGATTATTTCTGCACGAAATTCTTCATACCGTTTGGACATGCGTCATGACCTTCGGCATCGGAAAACGGAACCGCAATCCCTACGCATATTACGCCGCGAACCAAGAATGGAAGAATTGTGTGGTAAGCGGTTGATAAATAACAAATTATGCGCATGAGAGTTCGCTGCTCAGTGGCGCTCACTATGAAATAATTCGCAGTTCCAGGTAATACGAGGAGGGGGTAAATGAGCTCGATGCACCCGAGCAAGGGGTAACAGAGCTCGTTATCTGTGCCCGTGCCTGTGCAACACGGCCAGCCACCAAGAGACGGCAGCCCGTGCTATCACGCAGAACACCTGAAGCAGTCATTGAGCCCGATAGTTTTCGTCTCCATAGACTTGTATGCTAAACTGAATCACTTCTGTTTTGCGCATTTGGGAACGAAACCATGCAAATAACATTCCAAAAGAATCAGAAAAAATTCACGAGATTTGTTTGATATTAAACAAGTTATGATTCATGGTGCCGGACACAAGTTAGGGCCATTTATGTTTCTCGTAGACACAGCAGAGTTTGTGCGTGGAACCCAACAACGCGTGATCCGAATTCTATGCTATGTCTACGAGAAACGAAAATAGCTATAACTTATCTCCTGCGTCATGAATCATGACTTGTTTAATATCAAAAATCTCATGAATTTTTTCTGATTCTTTTGGAATGTTATTTGCTTGGTTTCGTTCCCAAATGTGCAAAACAGAAGTGATTCAGTTTAGCATACAAGTCTATGGAGACGAAAACTATCGGGCTCAATGACTGCTTCAGGTGTTCTGCGTGATAGCACGGGCTGCCGTCTCTTGGTGGCTGGCCGTGTTGCACAGGCACGGGCACAGATAACGAGCTCTGTTACCCCTTGCTCGGGTGCATCGAGCTCATTTGCCCCCTCCTCGTATCAGTGACGAACTGATCATGACAGGAATTCCCGAACAACCACAGCAAACCAAAGACAATCATATTCCAAAACATCACGAAACAACACAAGCAAAAAGAACGGCAGGAACTATATTCTGTGGGTTTTTCAATTTTAAAATTTAAAGTTCGACGTCTTAAAGCAGACTGCAACTGCAGAATGCAGACGTTGGGTTTACAGTACTGGTTGCTACGGGACTGAATGTGAGTGTACTACACTGTACGTACAGACGTTCAAGTATGCTGTACACGGCTGCCCGCTTGTTTGCAAGCCAATGGGAATTACAAAAACAACTAGATTGCGGCATAGTCAGCCGCATAGACCATAGTAACCGGCATGTTATACCGCATACCACCTATCTATTATGCGCCAAGTCGAAATTTTGGCGTAAGCTCAGTTTTCGTGTGAGTGTGACGTCGGATTGACCAGCCCATCCCCGCTCGACGTCAAAACTCTGCATCCCGTGAGCGTCATGCAAATCAAGGCGTGATTCTTGTTGCTGTGTTTCTGCCCTTGCTAACGCGGAGGACCTTCACGGGGTTTTCTGCATTAACGGAAATCTGGCTGGAATGAAACCGTTACCGGCGATATCACTCGACACCTTCGTCTCTCAATGATCTAAGTTTTGTGTTTGCCGGCATCAGCATTTCCAAAGGCGATTGCCAGGAGAGGCTCACGAATCACGACATCAACTTCTAGCATCGCTGCAGTTAGGCTTAGAGGCGGCCAGCTTCACGTTCAAGCATACTTTCTTGTCGCAAATCGGTATTTCTTAATCGGACGACATACAACCTGCTTCTGGAATGTTATCTCTTCCGTCTCTTAGAATAAACGCATTTTTAAGAAAGAGGAATGAATAATATCATTGTCATGTCAAAAAACTACTTGCAGATTTTTATTTCAAAGGGAGCCGTGTAAAACTTTTTAAACGGCCCAATCTTATCGTAATCAGTTTAGTTAGTAATCATAATTATGCTGCTTTTGTAACTTAGCGACGCTGAGCTTTGCGTGAGATTGTGTTTGATAAGCACTTGCTCGAACGTGTAAGCACTACACACACAGTGCACACTGACTAGCTTCTAATCCTTCTATAAAAACCGAATCCGTTTGCGCGGAAAACCATGCAGTTAGCGTGCTGCATCCTAATACTGTTTTTGTCAGCGGGAGCCGTCCGTGTTAATCCAACTGATAATAGCACGAACTGGGATGCCGAGAATTCCACTTTTATTGCAAAGGTTCACGAAGACGAAGGCGTGAACATCACAACGTTGATTGTTTATGGAAACTTGACATTACGAAAATTCAGACATCTTTTCTCGGAGGCTACGGCTAGTGCAGCGCGTTATCGCGCGCTGGGTTATGATTCATAGAGATAGGCACGGGTTTTTAAAAAAACGGAGCTGTGCAGCGCGGTATCTTGAATACGTGCCGTATGGTTGTTTTGACCATTCGGAGCGCAGATAGGCCCGGATTGTGATGACACACGTTACCCGTCGTTATCTACTGCGCATTATGCACAAAAAACATACACAGGCGTTGGAAGATACCCGAATGTCTGAATTATACCATTGAATAACGACGTTGTGATACAGCTGACTCCAGGTAATTATTTCCTTAATTCCCTTCGTCGGGATCACGCACGCCAGAAAGAGGGGTGGGGCGTACCGGCGCTCGCTACGGATTTTCGACTCCGCGACGCGGTTTTAATACATAATAAAGAAACCTTCAATTCTTAAAATACGACTCACGAAACCAGAGCAAATGCCACGCCAATACCATTCAGTTTATACTTTGAGTTCTTGATGACTCGCACTTTTTTGCCTTATTGCGCTCACCAGCATTGAATACTGCGCTGATATCAGTGTACCAACCAATGCTCGAGTGGGATAAAAGCGGTGCAACAGCTTTTGAAAATACTCGGTAAATTAACTTCCGATATTACATAACACATACTACCGGATGGGCGAACAAAATGGCGGTGGTAGGGGGCTTGGGTCAATCCAAGAGTTGCCGCTTGGTTTATAGTTGCAGTGCTTGATATTATGTATGCAAAATTTACTCGAAAGAGGAACGTTTACAACATACAAAAGCTAAGCTAAACCACCATTATACGGTGGATGACGCTATTATTCCTAGGTCAGGTGCTCCGTTTAATCACACCGAAAGTTTGCTTTAGTCTCTGATATTATCGTCCCCCATCTATTTTCTTTAGCGTCGATTAGCTTGCGTACTTGCATGACCGTGTATGTAGTACCTAACTATACACACCGTTTGCCTTTTAATCCTTCGGCAAAACTCGTACTTGTTTCCATCGAAATCAGGAAGTTACCCTGCTCCATCTTGATATTACTGTATTTGTCAGTCGGAGTGGTCCAGGTGAATGCGACTGCTCATGACACGAATTCGGATGCCGCAAATCCGACAAGTGCGGAGACGGTGTACGAAGATGAAAGCGGGAACATTACTGCGCTTACGGATTATAACGACTTGGCATTGACTGAACGCACTGCCGCTCAGTCGATTATTCCGGACGGTTATTCCGATTCTTCATCGTTCGCCGGGATCTACACCGGATCCGATGGAAGGCTGCGTCATCTGTGCAAGATCCTCGATGAAACGGCCTGCCACGAGCACTGCGCGCAGAGACATCGCAATGGCAGCGGTCTCTGTATTGGATCACCTCTGAAGTGTGCATGCCATTACCCAGTATAGATAACAGGAAACGTTGAGTTCAAGACTGCCGCAAAGCGTTCTGATTTGTCTTCTCATAGTTTCCATCTTCCTTTTCCGGCTGACGTTTCCATCTTTCCTGTCGTGGCTTGAAGGGGGGGCGATGCTCCATCACCATGGACCGTAGCAAAGGACGCTAAACTTTTTACTATTATTATTATTTGTTCCACCATCTAGACAGAACAGTGAATTGCACTTTTCAGCCAACAGCGCTCTAATGTAATGGATGCAACAAATACAGATATGATAGGTACGGTATTTAAACTTTTTTGTGTTTAATACGTTAAAGTGGTTAAACTCTGCAACTGCCACGGTTGTACAAAGCCGGGCGTAAAAAAGTAGAATCAAGTAAACGCTCCGATCGATTAAAGAGGTATTTCTTCAATGTGTACGAGTATAACCCAATAAAAAATATCGCAAATTCTAGGACGTCACTAATAAATTGGTGACCTGTAAAAACACGCTTGTGAAATTCTCGTATCATTTGTTTGCAACATTCCGTATAAAAATATTTTACTCCTTTACAACGATTGATAATCATTATTACTGTCGTCCAAATAATGCGTTAATACGCGGACATCACATAAATATGTTGGCACTTACGTAAGCGGCGTATGTACGCGTGCAGAAATGCAGAACATCAGTACAAACTGCGCCAGAGATGCCTCACATTCATCAGTACAAGCAGCAGCAACTCTGTACACTGTTAACAACATATCTGTTATGTGTGAATTGTGATTAATAATATGCACCGCTCAGCTGCACTAACACCTGCGTTTCCCCGAACACACACCGTATAAACCAGCGGTACAAATAATACAATTCCGCGACACCTGTCCTGTTTGTTGAACTGCAGCCGAATAACAGCCGCACACACTGCCGCATAAATTACTCTGTGAATGAACATCAACGCTTATAAAAAGCATTACAGCTGTCTGTGTCGGCATTTACTCGAGTCATGCAATTTTGCTTCATTTTACGGGTTGACGATCACACTCGTGGAACAGAATGACGTTCTTCGGCACTTCGATATTTTCCCTTAGTTTCGCAGCACTAATACTGCGACTCAACGCCACTTCGTTCTCCACGAATTTCGTGGATCTCGCACCCGGCGTCCGCTTGGCGGGGGAACGTTACACTGCGCCCAGTTCTTCAAACTTCGGCTACGCGTATTATGGGATTCGTTATGGAACCGCCAAACGCTTCGAGGTAAGTTCAGTGTCCAATGAAATCTTCCCGCTTTTTTAGCTTTTCGGTTTTTCTTTAGCATTCAGTGGAGAACACGGATTTTTCGTATTTATCCGACACGTACCGGCGACCACAAGGTTTCATCTGTCCGCAGCGCGGTTATATATCTTTCGGCAGCACTATCGCCGATTTACGCCCCTTCAACCGCACCGACGCCATGAACGAAGACTGCCTGTATCTGGATATCTACGCTCCAGAGAGTAGCGACAACAAATCACTTCCGGTGATGGTTTACTATTTTGGCGGATCGCTGCAAAGTACACCGCAGTTTTCCTCTCTGGCAACTGCAAATATCAGCGCATTTGTTTCTTAAGTGTGTATGTATTTTTGACAGTTGGTGACAAAGATATTTACAATGGCTCTTCCTTGGCGCTGCACACCGATACTATTCTAGTCGTCGTCAACTATCGGCTCTCCGTTTTTGGTAATGATGACCTCGTCCAGACCCGTCATCGAATTAACAACGAGAACTACTTTTTATTACATATTTGTCTTACAGGATTTTTAAGCAGCGGCGACGAAGCACTTCCAGGAAACTACGGACTCGGCGACTGCAAGACCGCCCTGAAATGGGTGGCTAAAAACATCGCCAGATTCGATGGGGACCCACAGCGCATCACCGTCTTTGGCCAGAGCGCCGGGGCCATCCTCGTCTCGGCTCTTTACATGGATCCCGATGCACGCAGTCCGTACCGTCAATTTCATAGTCCTAAAATTAAACTGCTGTAGACAAAAAATTTCCACAAATTCGCTGTCTTCATCCTGTTTAAAATTTATAGAGGATATTAAAGCCGGCATCGCTATAAGCGGCAGCGCTCTGCTGCCGCAGGCCTGGACCGGCGACCCGCTGGGGAACCTGCAGCAGTTGGCGCAGAAGACCGGATGCGGGACGAACACAACCGCCGCGGACCGGATCGTGCAGTGCTTGAAGGGCGTACCCATGTTTGATTTGCTGGCAGCTGCTAAAGGCCTCGACAACCAATTTACCGTGCGTTTTCTAAACTATTTCCTGTCGATTGTTAACATTTCTCCGATTTATTCTGGTTACCTAGGACCTCCTACTCAGGTTACGTAAGATCTCTACTCGTACTCGTTCAAGATTTTCTACAGTGCCTTAAAGGCCCTTATGGTTTCTTAGGTTTCGTAGATTTCTTCTAGTTTCTTGAGTTTGTAGGTTGTCTTGCTTTTTTAAGTTTCTCAGGTTTTCTGATGGTTTTTATTTTCTTACTCAGGAAGTGTTTTAAATGCCTTTTTTTCTGTAGGAGGCGATACCGTACGCTTTCGTAATCGATCACCGGCATTTCAACTCTACACCCGACGAACAAATTCGTCAACAGGTGTGGCCAGGAGCCACGCTTCTAACCGGATACGCACGTGAAGATTCGTCCATTTTATTATCGAGTAACGTCAATCATTTAAATGCTGTTCATAATGTTCAGCAAAGACATAAGCGATTTGCAGATAATAATCCGCAGTTTTTCGATCCGGCGTTTCCGCTTACGTGGACGGTTCTCCGCGATACACTGGCCCAAGCGTACCTGCCGTCCAATGAGTTCTGTTCCCAACCGAAATACGCCCTGGCCGATCAAGTAATGCAGCACTACAACATCAGTCCCACCGACGATCGCAACACGATGCTATGGAAATACTATCACGTAAGAAAATTACTAACCTTTCTTGTATTTCGTTATCAGCGAAGTTAAAGGTCACGCCGTAGTTGACGACGGACGGGAATCTGGGATATCCGGCGCTAAAGGAGACATGGCTGTATGTCGATAAGCAAGCCAGCGATGGGCGGCCCAACCAGGTGTACAGAAACGCCTACGACCAAAAACAAGCGAATCTAGGTAAAAAACATAATAAAAAATGCGTCAAATCAAAAATAAATAAATTTTAAATCTAATTCATAAAAAAAGGCGCTTCTTGAATACAAATAAATTATCAAAAAAAAGTTAACATAAGCGAATAAATTTAGATTTAATACTTTGTACATAAAAAAGTAGTTTTCTTCTTGCTTTTTTTTATACAGAAAAAAGCAGCTTCTTAAACTTCATAATGCAGTTATTTTTTATTATTTAACCGGCACGTTTTTTTATTCACTTTAATAAAATATACCGTAGGTGCGTTTCATGCCGCGGAACTGGGCTATATCTTCGGTGACGCGGTCAACCGGCGTATTTTCAATTTAACGCTGAATCCGACAGTGGAAAACAGCATACAACAGATGCTGTGGCAAGTAGCGTATAATGGGTAAGAAATATTAATTCGCATTAAGTTAAAGCATTTTTTTAATGGAACTAGGAGGGTTTAATTTTCAGGCGAATGGATGCGCCGTTTAATAGCTTTGATTGGCGCTACATGGAGCTGGGCGGGGAAGGATTATGGGCGGAAGGTAGCGCGGATCTCCGGGCTGTGTATGATTTCTGGGACGCGGTGGCGCGGACACCGTGCAACGGGACGCTACCGTTATCAAAGCGTGTCCCTAAAGCTGAAGGATTAATTGATCTGTTGTCTGCGTTGCCGCTTATTTCTTCTTTATTCAACAACCCATAACTACGTACATATAAAATATGATATATAATATTCGCAACGTACGCTACCGTGATACATTATGCTGGTACTTTGTCTGAACAAAAGTTTGTCGTGTACACTTTAATGTTGTTGTTGTTGAGTTGTTTTGTAAAATGTACAGACTGTAATGATGACTGAGTCAATCGGTGTAACGCGGGCAAAATGCAGATATGTACAATAAATAACCATGTTGTTGAATGCCGCATAACCGGTTGTTTTTGTAGAAAACTCGTACATTAACTCGTTATAAATGCGCTTGTGAGTTGCCGGCGAATAAGCGGCGATACATGATTAATTTCCAAATCGTACTTTAGTTCCAACCGGAAACTTGATTTTAACGTTCGCCTCCAGCTGATACGTATACGCATGTACACACATATCGTGTTTTTACTCCGCTGTATAAAAATATTATGGCGCTCTTCGATGTAGTGGAATTTAGCATCGCCGATGGACTGTCGTGATAAAGCTCCGTGAAACGTCTGCCACGCAGACGCACATTCTTCCGCTGAAACGGAAAATGTACTGAACAGTGTGTTTCCGTAAAGTGAAAGTGTTGTTCTTCGCTGGCACGATGTATCGGCACGTTAACCAGCGGAAACGTCAGCGGGGCATGGACCTGCTTTTTTCTGCAGCAACGGGACACGATGATGGTGATCAGTTGAAACGCGTCCATTGTGTGCTAATTAATCGATCTGCACCGGTGTCATTTGACATTTTCCCGCGGTGAATATTCGGATTACGTTAAATTTCGCCGGAAAATGGAGTTGTCAGCGATTTGGTTTGTTGTGGTTATTTCCGTGCTTATCCACGGTAGGCGAAAAAAATTACTGATATTCAAAATAGCACAAGCTGTCGTTTTTTTCACAATGTTGTAAATTGTCCATATTTATTTTCGCAATAATTTAATTTTAATCAATATTTAAAATATATGTAACACTGGTGATTTTTTCCGTTATAGGATTGTATAATACGTTATTCGTTTTTGCAACGAGCTGCTTTATCTACTCGCAGTATCTAAACGTTAACCAATACAAGTGTACAACACAACCGGTGGTTTATTGATTTTCTAAACCATAAAACTATTTTTTACATACACGTTTCATAATGATGTATTTTACTTCGGTTTAATTTCATACCGGCGAGCATTGTCGGTGTACAACGCAATATGTTAGCAGAATCATCCACAGTAAAACAAATTGTGGAAAGGAAAACTACGAGAGTTATGTCAACAAGTTGAACATGTTTTTTTGTTGCACAGATGCGGGGTGTATTGACACGAAGAGCAGCGCCGTGTACGAGTACCAGCGCAGCACGGTTTTGAGCGGCAGTCAGCCGGTGGAGCAGGCCGGCACCGTCATCGTCTCGCCGCTCTGGCTGGCCTCCAAGACCACACCGCAACCAGCCAACAGTCCCTACTCCGGCCTCTTCCACGTTCAGGTACCTGAATTTTCCCATTTTTAAGTATTTTCTCAATATTTTCCAAATGAAGCAGGAATGGTTTCTGCCGCCGAAAATAAATACTGTCGACATGCAATCGAAACAACAAATTCTGCCTGAATACAGTAATTCGACTGTTATTTACAACCCTGTGCAATAATATCGATTTTAAATTTATATATACAGTACGTAAAACCATAGTTTGCAAGGCAAACACTTATTTAAAGAACATTTTCTTTGCGCATACGTACTTTGAAGAATCGCAAATCGCTTCATTTATATATATACATGTATATACTCGTAGTTCCGCCGGGAGAGCGATCTGGATGAAGAGCTGATTGAGCGGCCGTTTCTGATCGCCATCGGGAATCCGGATGTACTGCATTTTCATTCCAAGGAAACCGTTCGTGTTAAGAATTTCAAGCGCGCTGTCTATAGGATTTTATCGGTCTACTCCAAATCAACGCTCAACGGAACGGTAAACGAACTGCTGTACGATAAATAAACCCCGGTGTATTTTTATTTGCACTTAATATTATGAGAACGTAGTAAAAACATTATCCCCGCCAGCGAACCTGTAAAACGTCATAATTATTTAAATTCCGGTAGTACATTCCGTTTGCCGGATTTATTTCTGTCGGTTATTAATTTCCTACAATTGCCGGCTTTCATGCGAATATTATTTCCGGTACTGTTATTTCCGGTAGTGTTTGAAAGACACTTGTAATTCTTTGATTTATTTTGTGGGTTTGCTTAATATTTATATTTCTGCATTACAGGATTTTATTTCTCAATATGTACAAAGCGAGCTTCGCTCAACAATTATAATCAAATGAAGAATTTGGCCCAATTTACATGAGATCGAAGGAACTGTGCACAATTTCTAAATTATTATTTTTCATTTTGTATATATGCTTTCTTAAATCTTGAAATATTATTGCTGATCATATTGATATTTTGTTACAGTATTTATTATTTTCTAGGGCGACAATTTCTCCAACTTCACCTGTCGCCTGCTGACCGCCCAGCAGACCGACAACACCGCCATCCGCGCCACGGAGTACACCAGCCAACAAGCCTGCCGGCGCCCGCTGCGCCTCACTTCCGCCAGCGGCCGCTCGCACTCGCCGCTGGACTACGCGACGCTCTCCGTCAACTACCAGCGCCGGCACACCAGCGCCGCCAACGGCACCTTCCTTAACGGCCAGATCACCGAGCACCACAAGCTCTTCCTGCCGCACGCGGCGGCCGCCAACGGCGTCCTGCAGGCGGAGTCGGTGCAGAGCGTCCGCTTAATTAAAGTGGAACCCAACTATGTGGGGAAGTTTGCCGCGCCCAGTATTAGCACGGCCATGGGGAATTTTCCCGGGTTTGTCCAGGAGGGAATTAATTTTGTGAAGGATGAACACGTGGGAGTATCGCTAACGAAGACTGTTAACGAGCCGGTAAACGCACGCTGAATACCAATTATTTTGGTGAAATGAGTCATTTGTTTAACAACCGCTACAATTTTTTAATTGGATTTTTCATTTATTTATTAATCTGTTTTAAACGATTCATTTAACAATAATTTTTGCATTCGTAATTAATTTTATAATTAAAAATTCAATTATTAAATAATTTTTAATTGATTTTATATTTATTATTTAATTTTCACGCTTTTGATTGCTGTTTATTAACATTATTAACTAATTTTGCGATTCACATTTTGCGATTCAAATTTTGTCATTTACCATATTTTGCGATTCACATTTTGCGAATTTTGCGATTCACCTTTTGTCATTTACCATTTTATTAATTTTTATATACGACTACTAATTATAAGCATTAGCCTTTAATCAGCAAATTTTCAGAGCCTGTTTTACGGCATATTTTCAAATTGTGTGCGCTTAAATTTCAGAATATTTTATTTTTTTTTTATAAATATTGTTTAGGTGGGTGACTTGTTGAAGAAATTAAAAAAGCATACGCTGAAATCCAACGCGGCCACCGTCAACGCCGGTCGCGCCTTTCTCCGCCTCCTGACATCGGCCGGCGCCGCGTCCGAGGAAGACGTTGTTGTTTTGCTGAAGGAAAGTTTGGCCATCAAGAAAAAAGATAAAGCCAATATGTAACTTTTGATTCTTATGTACAGTTTGCTAGCTTTGGAACTAGAAATCTCATCGTGTCTTTTTTAACAGCTATTTTATCCTGGATGTCTTAGCTGCCAGCCAATCGTTAGCCGGCTTCGAAGCCGTGGAAACCACACTGTTCAGCAAAAAATCGTCGTCGAATAACTTGGATTATTTCTACCGTTATGTCACTGCGCTGTCGTTCGCGCGCCGACCAAAAGTAACCATTGGTCAAAAACTGCTGGTAATTGACGAAAGTGTTCTCTTTAAGAAAACATTTAATATCCCAAAGAAAGTCATATCCGAAAATTTTATCGAAAATGCCAATATTTTCATATTTTAGTAACCTTTAAAGTTTGATGCATTTTTGGAAGTTTAAAGAATTATTAATAAACATTGTTAATACTTATATATATTTTGTGGTGGATGATTTTTGCTTCTTGTAGAATTTACTGGAGCAGAAGGACGTTGACAGCAAATTAGCGGAAGCCGCCGCCCTGGCGGTAGCCGCTCTGAGCCGCACTATGAGCCGGGAAAATTCGGGCAACGATGGCGATCAACTAGTACCGAAATGTTCTCCCATCAAATTATTAATTTTTTAATAATTTAAATTTTCTTACAGGAATTCGTAGACAAAGTCAGCAGTTTGTTATCCGAGCGGCTGACAACCGCCAAGGACGCTGACACCCAGGTCCTCTACCTCCGCGCCCTGGGCAATTTAGCCGGCACCGAGCAGCTGCCCCAGATCATCAGTCACATCCACAAAGGGGGCGTGGCCGCCGCCGCCGCCATCCGCGCCACCCAACGCTACGACTGGAGTGACCTTTCGTGGAAAATCAAATCCCTGGTAAGCACAGGAATACAATGCACCTGACCCTGTCCTTAACTGAAGGAAGCATTGGCAGGTGGAAAGCGCTGTGTGGGGTGTCTACGAGAGCACGCACAAGACTGTCACCAGCAGCAGTAAAATCGCCGCCGTTGATTGGCTAATTCACCGCTACGCCGCTGACGACAAGCAGGCGGCGTACGTTGTACTCAGGATTGTCCGCGGGCTGGCCGCAATTCACGGGGAAGAATGCCGGACGTATATCCTGGCGCGGCTGAGGAACCACCTCGGATTATCCACACATTTTTGGTAATCACAGTCTACAGAGTTTCTTGGGTTTCTTATGTTTCTTAGACACCCTTCCGATAGTTCTTGCCAATCATCAGCTCTACCGTTTTCTGTAGGTCTCGTTTAAAAATCTTTCCTGGGTTTCTCGTTGTGTTTCCTTAGGTGACGTGCGCAGAGTTCGTTTCTAGATATTTTTTCTGTATTTTTTCTAGTAAGCGCTTTCAAGCTTGTCAAGATTTTTTCCTAGGTCGCTGTATTTTGTTAAGAACGATTTCTTAGGTGTCGTAAAATGCCGAAATGTCGTACTTTTTCCCGCTCTTTTTACTGTACTTTCTTTGTACATCTACATACAAATTCTTGGGCTTCTTAGGTTTCTTAGATTGCTCAAGATATTTATCCGCTTTTTTTCCTAACTGTCTACTGTCAACAGGAGCGCGTTGTCGGTGGCGCTACGCAGCACCTCGACCTACGCCGATTTAGCTGAAATGGGCCAGTCGACGGCGTACCACGGTCTGCTGCGCGCCGCGCCCGCCCTCAACGCCACCTACGACCTGGGCATGGAGTTCGCCGGCGGCAGCATGAAGGAGAGCGCGGTGAAGGTGGGCGTGGCCAGCGGCGACCAACACCTGGGCGTCATCTCGGTAAGCGACATGGGTGACACGTGTCGTGGTGTGTAATGGATGACAGAACGGGGAATTGCAGTTCGGGTTATACGCGCACGGATTGGCCAGTTTCATGGGCGGGGCAGAGGCGACGGAGGACGGTGATAGTCCCGTGACGGCGGGCCTGGTGCTGGAGATGGCCGAGGTGACGCTGCCGCGCATGGTCTTCTTCAACGGCCTGGGCCAGCTGACGTCGCTGGCGCTGTCCGCCTCGGGCGACGACCCCGTGGCGGAAATGCAGGTGCGTGCAAGTACAGGCTGCACAACCGCTCACAACGTACTATAAACTACAGTACATGTATAAAGATTTGTCATGACGCATAGTGATGCGCAAAGTAGCGCTGCTCTGTCCGCACCCAGTGCCGGCGATTTATGCGTCTCGGCGGTATTTCTGTTGCGCACGGTTTATTGCTTTGAGTGTTAAGTCTGGGAAGCGCAGTCCGACTGCCGCGTCGTTGGTTTTGTTTATTTTAATTTCATTGTCCAGCGGTATCATAAAGTTTTACTTCTGCATCACTTTTATGAATCTGTACTGTGATTCGTCTTCGTACTTTTGCGGAAGCCTTTGCGTGTCACAATTCAGATATCATAATAATAAGGATCAATAAATATTATTTTAATATAACGATTTTATTGAGTACGTCAAGCAGAATGTCGAAAGTGTGTTCAAAAACTGATTAATAAATATGTTGCAGTTCAATTTGCTGCTGCAAAACGTGTCGGTGGCCGTCCCCCTGGGCAACGGCATGACGGTAGTAACCCGCCTGCAGACCACCATCGCCGCTGACCTGTCCGGCTTCGTCGAGGCCAGTCTCTGGTACCGCACCCTCAAATCCCTAGTGCGCAACCGGTACGCACATTTCTCCTATTCTCCCCGTGACCTTTGACAATTTGACAGCGCTTTTCGCTGCTTTATAATCAGGGGTATTTGTACTTAAAATCTACAGTATTTTAATATTTTGCGATGTACGAGGATGTCTAAATGTACAGAATAATTTAATTTGTGCAGTGTGGCGTTCGTGCTGGAAGCCGAAAGCCGGCTGGTGGACCGCGCCGTAACGAAGGACGTTAGTGTGGTGCTGCGGGAAGCCTCGCAAGGCAAGATGGATTTCATGACCAGCATCGACTTCTCCAGCTTCCCCGTCAAGCTCTGCATGCAGATGAGCAGCGGTCTCATCAAGCACAGGTGCGCCAAAAAATTAGACAATGATCTGAATCAAGAATTCCATTTAATTTTAATTACTGGAATTATGTATTTAATGATTTGAAATTCAGCTCACAGTCCCATACGCGGATTAATTTTCTTGCCACTTAGCGAATCAAATAAAGATTTCTCTACATTATACGAGTACTACTCGTAGCAAATAAAATGCAAGTAATAATTCAAATCCTGAATTTTTCTACACGGTTCATACATTACATTACTCGTATCTTGCCAGTTGCCGTCTAATAAAATCAATTTATTAAATTAATGCAGAAAATCAGAATTTAATTATCGATAAACAGCAAAAAACGATGTGCGTGGGTGAATTACAGTAAATTACGGATGTGCGTGTGACAGTATATTTTTGTGGATTAATTTTCTTGTCATTTGTTTCCAGCCGGCATCAACGCTGGACCGACAAAGACAACAAACCGCGCATCAAATCCCACAAACGGACCGTCCCGCCCAAATCCTACGCGTTCGGCTGGCGGAACGCCAACACGTGCCGGAAATTACAGCCCACATAAATTACAACCAGAGAATAATTTAAAATTCACCTGAATTTTCCGTGAATTTTTTTTCTAAATTTGTTAAATTATAGGGAAATTCTCGTTGTTGTTTACTCCTAATTTTTTGTTTAATTCTGTGATGCAGCAACATAACCCGCTCAAATAAAACAAAACAGTACAACGTGGAACGCCTGAAACTGTGAAGAGAGAATAAATTACAACACTAATATTAAAACACAATTTTTCCGGGAATGCCAACGAAAAATAAAACCAACGAAAAATCCACACGAAGCAGCCAGCAGGACATTGTATTGCAGAGCGTAAAATTGTCAATAATAATTCATAACCTCACTAATCTACGCGAAACACATATCACACATACCGCACAAAACACTCCAAATCCGTCAGGAATATTCTCCTATTTGCCCTCCTTTTTCTCGGCGGGAGCGCCGCCCTGGGCGGGCTGCCCAGCACGGTCCCGGGGGTAGAACTCTGCCAACGTGCTCTGCGGGATGCGCTTGAGCATCTCCTTGGGGAAGATGCGCAGCAGCTGCCAGCCAATGTCCAGCGACTCGAAGATGGTGCGGTTCTCGTAGCTGCCTTGCGAAATGAAGTTCTTCTCGAATTTGTTGAGGAACTCCAGGTACAGCAGGTCGTCGGAGGAGAGCGCCTCCTCGCCCACCACGGCCTTCATGGCCTGCACGTCCTTCCCGATGGCGTAGTTGGCGTACAGCTGGTTACTCACGTCCGCGTGGTCCTTGCGCGTCATGCCTGTCATCAGCAAATACAATAAATACAATAAATAAAAATAAAGAAAATAAATCATAAATAAATTATTATTATTTCTTGAATAACTGCCAATAAAAGTGAAATAACGGTGAAATAAACGCACAATTTCAACACAGGTCCGCGTATTCCTTGCGCGTCCTGGCTGTCATAGGAAGATGCGATTAAAAAATAAATCAAAGCAAGAAAATGCACTATGTATCTGTACATTAAATTACAAGTAATCCTTCAAGAATAACTGCCAATAAAATGTCAAACAGCATTAAAATAAAATGCAGATTTCAACAAAAGTCAGCGTGGTCTTCGCGCGTCATGCCTGTTCGAAAACAAATTTCTCAAAACAAAGAAAATATAGGAAAAAAATAAAAATGGCTTGCATAACTGCATTAATTACTCACAGAATAACTGTCGAAAAAATGCTAATAAAAATCAAAATAAAAGCCCAGTGCAATACACGGCGCCGTGATTCTTGCGCGTCATGCCGGCCACAGAAAGTGAATTTCAAAAAAATAAGTAACACTACAGGAAAAATAATGAAAAAACGATCTGCCATGGCTAAAACTATTTACGAAGGAACAACTGCTAAAGAAATGTCAAATAATAAGGAAACTGCCAAAAAAACGTCAGCATGCTAATAACAAAGAGGAAAAAAATTGTTACTTTACCAACAAACTACTTTATCAGCATCACGTATACCCAAATCTTATGCATCACCAATGCACGTCCCTACCGCAAGTCCAGAAGCACAGTGAAGCCACAGCACTACAAATCTCCTACATCAACCACACCGGCACGATTGCTGATACGTACTTACATGATTAATAATGACAAAGTACTACATAAATAACTACAGTAATAATTAACGATAATCATTACTATGATTAATTTAAAAAATTCAGTATATGATTAAATGACTAATACTGTAGCCCATCATTAATGATTGATTATCACTATCACGTAGAGACGATTAACTGGAATAGTTCGGCCTGACACACCTTCGCCGATGGCGGACTTCATGAGACGGGAGAGCGAGGGGAGGACGTTGATGGGAGGGTAGATCTGGCGGTTGTGCAGCTGGCGTTCCACGTAGATCTGTCCTTCGGTGATGTAGCCGGTCAGATCGGGGATGGGATGCGTGATGTCGTCGTTGGGCATGGTTAAGATGGGGATCTGCGTGATGGACCCGTTGCGGCCCTCCACGCGGCCGGCTCGTTCATAGATGGTCGCCAGATCCGTGTACATGTACCCGGGGAACCCGCGACGACCGGGTACCTCCTCACGGGCCGCCGACACCTGCCAACGACAAATTTATTCATCAACACGAAGATATATAATCAATTTACAACACATTCATTTCCAATTAATCCGAAAAATTCACACAATTAGTCCAAAACAATTTACTGTAATCCAAATTATTCAGAACAATTCAAGCGGAAGATTATTCGGTAAATAGCTAATATTCGGTAAACACAAAAAAACAAAATTAATTTCACAACATGTATCACGGATATTATCCAGTGAAAATCTGATGCAAATAATTCAGTAAATTTTGTACAAAAATCAGTTTAAAACAAATCTCATACAAATTATTCAGTAAACTTCCAAAACAGACATTTTAAATCGCTTTCATAAGTAAGAAAAGTACAATCGATTGAACAATAATTATTTAGTGAAATTAAAACAGTTTAATAAAAGACAGGTTGATAAATGACATTAAATCACCTTTGCCGTCAATTTGTATCTGCAGTTTATTTAATGGTATTTAGTTTATTTAATGGTACTTAATTTTACGAAATTATAACAGCGATGATTGACAATCGTACCTCACGCAGAGCCTCGGCGTAGGAGCTCATATCGGTCAAGATAACCAGCACGTGCTTCTCGCACTGATAAGCCAGGAATTCGGCGGTGGTCAGCGCCAGACGCGGAGTAATAATACGCTCGATCCTGCACAACCACATAAATCATTGCAAAATTCTGATCTTACAAATTCAAGGCCAAACCGTTTCAGCTTAATTTAAAGTAAATTTAATTCTCTTTTAATTTAATTCCCATTTAATTTAATTCAAATTCGATTTCACCCGTCCATAATTTGCGCTTCCAGATTCATATTAAATTTCGAAACAACTGCAAGTCTGCAACGATTTAGTCATTTATTCCTAGAAATTAAATTAATAACGCAGAATTAATAAAAAAACTTATTTCGCAGTTGCTATTATATTTTGTTTATCCAAGAATTGCAAGAATCTGGTTTATGTAATAGCTGAAAAAATAGAAAAGAATTGTAGCAATGTTAACAAGACGCACAAGTACAGATAAATATATGAGACAATTAATTAACTGTTAGTCAAAATAGCAAAAAACTTACTACAAATTAAATACAATTTGAACACAGTCACGTTGACTCACGTGGGATCGTTGGCCAAGTTGAGGAAGAGGCAGACGTTCTCCATGGAGCCGTTCTCCTCAAAGTCCTGCTTGAAGAAGCGCGCCGTCTCCATGTTGACGCCCATGGCGGCGAAGACGATGGCGAAGTTGTCCTCGTGCGCGTCCATCACGCTCTTCCCGGGCAGCTTCACCAGGCCGCCCTGCCGACAGATCTGCGCGGCGATCTCGTTGTGCGGCAGACCGGCCGCCGAGAAGATGGGGATCTTCTGGCCGCGCGCGATACTGTTCATCACGTCGATGGCCGAGATGCCCGTCTGGATCATCTCCTCGGGGTAGATGCGCGACCACGGATTGATCGGCTGGCCTGTGCGCCGCAAAACCACCCCGTTGATGGATGTTTTATTTAGAATTATTTTATATAAAGAAATTAATCGAATTAATCGGCTGACCTGTACGCCGTAGAAAAACGCCATGTTTAATTTGCAGAAACAAATAAAATTACGCGGATGGCCTCTAAGTAGGAAAAGCGCATGGATATTTCGTACTAAACTTTTTACAAAATTAATCGCATTAATCGGCTGACCTATGCACTGAAAAAAGCTAACCTATGCAAATAATTCATCAACATTTTGATAATACATTTTCACATTTAGGAAATACGACCGAATTCTGAACAAACACATTTTACGATTCCTCAAGCGTACAAACAAAAATATTACCAAATTAGTACTGAAAGAAGGGAAACGGAAAACGTGTCCACTCAATTATGTCGCGAAAAGAATTTTATAACAGCCACTGTTCTACGAAATCACTGCGAAATTTATTTCACTTTTTGGTAGAAATCGACTAATTTTGTACAGCGTTTCGTGAATGCAACGATACCGAGCCAAACTTTCGCAACGGCGTAAAGAACTGCAAAAGTGAACGATTTCCCCGGGACTGGGAAGTACGACTAAACGAAAAATCAAAGGGAGAGAGTATAGAACGCACCCTGAATATCCAAGAAATCCTCGGCCAAAACCTGTGGACCGCGATCAATGGGCTTCCCCGATCCGTTAAACACCCGTCCCAACATGTCTTCCGACACGGGCATGCGGAGAATATCACCGGTGAACTCGCATGTCGTATACTTGGCGTCCACACCCGATGTCCCCTCGAATACCTGCGAAAAACCGCCAACATCCCGTCAAAAACAATTTGATCACGCTGCATCATGTGACAAGCCAGTCGAAACGATGTGCCTGCAGCCATTCCCTGTACCCCAGCATCATAGCAGCGGCATCCAGTCATGCAAAATTACCAGATGCGCCGTATTTAAGAATAAAAAACGTTTCAAGTTTTTCTACGTCGTTTGGTGAACTACAACACTTGCTCCATGGATGTTTTTAGCAAAACTAATTAGAGAAAGGATCGAAAAAGGCAATAAGAAAAGAAAACCTGGGAAAAAGAAACGCGAAGTGACTCAGTGTGTGATTAGAAGCGTACCTGCACGACAGCTTTGGATCCGCTGACTTCCAGCACCTGCCCACTGCGCTGTGTCCCATCGGGCAGGGTCAGATTGACAATCTCGGCGAATTTGGGGAATTTGACATCATCGAGGATGACCAGGGGCCCGTTGACACCGGAGACCGTCTTGTAGATCATGCGGGGCTGCGCGTGATAGTCGCGGCTGGCTGCGAGATGGTGCGTTCGCGACGCCTCCACCGCCGTGTACGTCTGCTTCGTCATGTTGGACACTCACGCTCGCCACAAGGGGAAGAGGGTACAATAAAACTGCGGGATGGAGGAAAACAGATGAGACTGATTTCGTCCGCCTTCGTAAAAAAATAGAAAGAAAATTACGCGACTGTCTTCCAGCTCGTGACTGCACTCCCAAACTGCATGTTTCAAATTCAACACACAGAAAATTGCAGATCGAAGTTGCAGTGGGAGTTCCATTTATGACTACCACTGAGCAGGGTGGGAATTCCATTTATATCTGAACCACCGGAAATACCATTAACACCCTGGGTGGTGGAATAAACACAGATGCCTTAACGACTTCCATGTACTGCAGTACGTAGCGGTGCACCGATGTACAGGGAAATAAAGCATAGGTGCACTGGTCGTTAGTTAAATGCTGTTCCGTCGTAGATTTCCCCGTTGAAAAGGTATGCGCTGCTGCATTATGATACTGGGAATTGCCACACACATTACTCGTGCCACTCGCATGCAATTGCTGATCCGTAAAAACTGCGGAAATTTTCGTGTTTTGATGTGGGCTGTCTTCATTGGCCAAAAAATGCTGATGAGGATTTTTTAATTTTCGCAGCCTTTTCGCTTTCCTTTTTAATTTTGTACAGTTCTGCAGTCTGTAGTATGGGAATTTCTGTAGAATAGGTGTTTTCTGGAATATGGAGTAGCGATTGTGGTGTGTTTGCGAAACAGTGGCAGCATGCGTCGTGTTATCGGAGCTGACAGGTTGGCTGCGGACTTTGGATCAGCTGCTGGATAAACACAGCGGATGATGCATTATTCATTCGCCTGATCTCACCTTCTCCTGGCGTTGTCCGCATTCTTTCTCGTGTTATCTTTACCTCTATTTATTTCTGGAGTTTTCTTGGATTTTTCGTCGTGGTACTCTCTGGTAAGCGTGGTTTCTACCCACGGAAATTTAAATTTAATTAAATAATTATTAGTTTAATTAAAGGCATTTAAAGCCATTAAAAATAAAGGGATATTAAATTCACGATTATTGTTAATAAATTAATTTGTATTCTGTTTAAACATAAATTGCGGTTCTGTTTGCATGTAAAATTTCGAAATATTATTTTTGTTTTTTTGAGATGTTTATTTTGCGCATCATTGCTTGGTTAATATATTTTGTGTGATTTTTCGTTTTAGAGGCTGAATTAATTATTTTCTGGTGATTATGTGGCGCCATTGGCCGTTCGTGATCCTCTTCCTGTCGGTTCCGGTGCAGTATTTTGTCAGTAAATATTGGGTGGGATTTTCCTGGAGGAATCTCATCAAGCCGGACCCCGTGGATGACAATCCTTCAGCATCCTATGCCAATATTAAAGCGTCGAATTATTATTTACAGAGGTAAACCGTAAAACCTAAAGTTTAAAAAAATGCAAAAAATGCTACGGCTGAATTTATTTTTAAATTTGTTCAAAAATTAACTACGAAAAAAATTCAAGAGTGGCATGGAATTTTTATTCTGGTTAAATTACTTAAAAATGTTCTACAAATTGGTGATGGTGCGCATTTCGCAATTTTCGTAATTCGAGAATTAATATAGTATTCCGAAAAATTCTTTTTTTCGGTTTTCTTGTGTTTGCGGATTATCAATTTTAATAAAAAATTTTTTGATAAAATTTCTTATCGAAAGATTTGTTTATACGTAATTAAAAAATGTGTTTGCGTTTCTCCGATTTTTGTCGCTGGAAATAATCGAATCTGCATTCGGCCGGTGGATTCGAAATTGCCAGCGAAATCGCGAACGATTTATTTGTGAAAAGAAATTATAAGATTTACTCGGACAGAGCAGATTCGCGCCGTTTTTTGCAGACTGACGAGTGAGCATAAATCAAAATATAAAAGCTTACGAAAATGCCGCTTATAAAATTCTGCTTTATATCACTTTCTCCAGCGGCTGCGGAGCTTCCTCGGGCTTTTTTGTCTGTTGTGTCATTTACCGGGGCAATGCAATCTAGTACGATGAACCGATCGTCGTGTGCACGTTTCCGGCAGGTGTTGTTTTAACGGCTATCGAAAAAGGGCAAAACATGTTCGGCGATGAATTTGCATTGTATTTTTTCAAAATTAAGAAGCTGAAAAACAAATTTATTAATGGAAAAAATCTCAAACCCAAAAATGTGGTGTTTTTAATAATTCGAGAATAAAACAAAGGAAGTGTATTAAACAAATTTAATTTCACCTAATTTGAAGACGTATTAAATAAGATAAAAATAACTATAAATTAATTAGGGAAGTAAATAAATTTTGCAATTTTTAATACTAAGAAAAAGATAAAATGCAGGTGTATTGGACTACATATAATTTTTGAAATAATTAGAAGCAGCCGAAAATGATATACTGTAATCGCTAAAAACCTAAGCGGACCAGCATAATTGCTTAAAAACAGCAATTATTTCCCGTACTAGTACAGTACAGTAATTGTATGCAGATTGATTGATGGAACGCCTTTTTTCCAGCAACGCAGTTCGAAACGGTTTTTTTATTGTGTATTTATTTTTACTTGGCTTCTTATTAAAAACCGTCTCTTTATAATGATTTTGTTAATTTAAGAAAAAAACCCTTTGAAAATATATATTGGCAAAAATAATTAGGTAATAACGATTTAAAAATTATAATTAAATTGACTGATGTAAATAATATGAATGAAGTTAATTGGCTCAAGCAGAATTAATTGGAGTTGGCCGTATTACTGTACAGACAATTTTAAATGCCCAGTGCGCTGTACCAACAGCACCGCTAGCGGGCCACCAAGCCGTTGCACTACATTCTTTTCTCGATTAACTGCATAAATTTCACTGCGTGCACTGGTGTTAGGACGTTCGCCACGTTGGAGCGGAAGCTGAAGCTGCAGGAGTGGTCGCGGTGGCCGGAGAAGCTGGTGCAGTGCGCCAAACGGCTGCTCTTCGACTACATCAGTCTGGTGCCGGATCCGGAGGAGGAGGAGCCGACGACAGGGGACGCGGCGCCGGAGACGGGCCAGCCGCCGCCACCAGCGCCGACGCACACCGCACCCAAACCCAAGACCAAGGAGCACAAAAACTTCCATCCCGATGAGGAATACGACGAGAATAAACATTTTGCCGGTACGCAAATCAGTTAATTAATTCCGGTAATTTAAAATGGAATTAAAAATGAAATTATTCCGTTAAAAGCTGCTGGAAAGCCATAATGTTTAATTTACAATTTGGTTGATTGGAAAACCTTTTTGAAATGTAAATCCAGTAAAGAATATAATAATAATAATTTTAAATTCAAAAAATTGTTTTAAAATCATTACCTGATTTTAAAAATTATTTAAATTGATTTAACTGAAGTCAATTAAAATTAACCGAGGGTACCACCCAATTATTGTTCTTAAATTTTAAATGCCGAATGCCCTGACGTGGATTTATTTTTGGTTAAAGCCGTCACACTACGTTTATCACGGGATTAATGGCATAATTACCATTATCCTCCCTTACGGGAATGCATTAAATTCCTGAACATCAGTACGGTGATACGTTGATTTTCGCTGCATTACTGCAGAACGGTGTTCTTTAGGTTCACGTGATCCGCGCAGTCCCCGCCATCCCGACGTCCTGTACCGCGTGGGACAGGTCATTGAGCACACGCAGCAAAAGTACCGCGGCGTCATCCTCGGCTGGGACCACCGCCCCGTGGTACGGCATTTACCTGTTAATAATAATTTTAAAAATAAAGTCTTGAAAATATAAAAAAAATAAATATGCAGGTGTAATAAATACATTTTATTTAATTTATAAATGCACTTAAATAAAATAAATATTGAAATCAGTTTTGTAAAAATTGCAAATATATTTTCTAATTTTTATTCATTAGAAATACAGAAGAATGCTGTAGTAATAAATCAATTTAATTTTGTTTTATTAAGAGCAGCGGAAATTTAATTGATAACAACCGTAAGAAAAAATAGTAAAAATACGAAACTGATTTTAAAAAGTATGATAATTAAAAATTAATGACAAACCGGCGCTGAAAGATGTAGAATGTGTGATTTTGTGGATGGGCAGATGCCGAGCAAGGTGGCGAAGGCGTTGTTCGCGCGGGAGAAGCCGGAGATGCAGGAGCAGCCCTTCTACGCCGTCCTGGTGGACACGCGTGACCGCGTCACCCCGCAGATCGACTACATTGCGCAACAGGTCATCCGGCCCCTCATGCCGCCCATCGTGGTAAGCACCGCCGTTTTCCACAAATAATTTGGGGAAAAAATTATTATTTTCTGAATAAAAATGCATTTGGCCACTGTACAATGGCTGTTTTACGATGTGTGTACTCGTATTTACGCTGTTGTATTGATAAGGTAGGAATGCAATTTGGCAGTTGATTCTTGCTCAGGTTAGATAACAATTTACTGTAAAAAGCATTGCGACCGGTTTGCGTGCCGAAAAATCTAAAACTAAGACATAACTTATAAGGAATGTGTACTTTAGAATGAATTCAGTCGGAAACTCTTAAATAAATTCACGCGAATTCAGAGATAAATATGGTCGAAATTCCCTGCCTATTTTGTAAATTGATTAAGAAATCCCGCCGTAAATTCGTCAGTCAGTGATTCTTCCATTCCTTAGTATCGCAGGTTTTTAACTAAATCCATCCGTGAATTCGCAAATAAATGCAGCCGGGAAATGCATCACTAAATGCAAGAACAAATTGAGCCGGGAATTCCTAAATATTTTCTTGTGTAAATTATAAAAAAATATAGCCGAAATTTCATACCTGAATTGCTGACATATTCTGCCGTAAATTCATGAGTAAATACTATAATTCTTAAATTCCGTAAATTCATACATGCCGTAGATTTTTAACTGAATTTACCCGTAGATCGGAAAAGATATGCGGAAATTCGTAATACTACATGAATAAATTCAGCCATAAATTCATCAATAAATTAAGCCGTACATTGTACTGTAATATACAAAATTTGGATAAAAATAAATTTACTTCACTAGACATTTAAGCGATTTGTATTGCTGTGCAGATCGTGCACCCCGTGTTGGAGGCGTACTTCGAAGCCGGCCGGCCGGATGCGCGCAGCGGCTGCTATCGCATGCGGCCCTTCCACCAGCAGGTCTACCCCGAAGACTGACGAATCGGCGATTATTATTGAATAGTGACCACTGCATGTTTCGCCTGGACGATTGTTTGTTAATTCGCGCTGGATGATGGACCCCGTCTTTCCTTTTTCACACCAGTCGCTGGTTGGTTGAAAGAAATTTTTATTTCAACCTGCAGATTTTTATACAGTTATCAGTGGGTTTTTACTGTATGCGGCCTTGGACAGACTTATTTCACGTGTTTTCTGTGTTTTTGCGGGTGGACTGCGTTGTGCCTTGCATGGGTGTACTGCCGACCAAGATTCGTGTTCAAGTTTTATCCGGAAGAATTTTCACTGGTGTGGTGTGTGTACGGCGAAAGTTTTGTACAAACGAGAAAATAAAAAGCGGAGAAAACGATGTCGTGTAAAGGATTGAAACAGTTATGCCAGAAGCCCTGGATTCTAATACAAGTACTGTACTGCGTTTGGCAGTCAATAATCATCTTGTTCTGCCGTTATTACCCGTTAAGGGAAATAACCGGTACATGGTGCCAAATTCTGGTACATAATACATACACGAAAACTTTCACTTTTGCGCACTCCCAACACTTTTTTGCATCGTTTTGTTGCATTCTGTAGCCAAATCCTTTGTATATGTTGGTGTGAAAAGTAGGAAAACCGTTTGTGCGTGCAACTTCCGGTGGGTAAGTTATGGGTGAAATAAAATTCCGAAAAGTTTAAATGCAAGAACGTGTACCAAACGACTCATTATGAACCGATCTCCTTCAAACTTGCAGAAAAAAAGCGCATAAAACAACAACTATTTTAATCACCACAACTTTTACAGTACATAACTTAGAAAACAACCACCTATTAAGCATCGACCGAGAGGGGCGGCCTAATTACAAAGAAAATTTGATCTAGATTTGGTCCCATTGACGCTGTCCCCATGATCGATGCCGCATTTCCTCGTTGAATTTCAATGCTGATCCGCTGGCGAAGGTATTCCGTGGCTCGTTTTTCGCCGGTTTCTTGTTGTATCATTTGTCCAACCTCCGTTATCGTGCGGGCAGCTTCCGGCCCGGGCGGCCCGAGCGTTTCAGAGCCCAGACGACGGAACCAGTAGTCCTGTCCGATATCGCGATATTTCTCGATCTTGCCCTGCTCGGCCTGTGCTGCTGCTGCTCCCGCTCGTGCGGATGTCGCGACAATGTGCGATATGGCCATTGTGTTGACGCACGTGGCGTCCCACGCCAACATCCGTCCTCTCTCCCATGGTGTCAAGGTAACACCGTCTGGTCGCTTACTGTTTGTCGGAAAAATACCTTGCGGTTCCAGTTCGCTTTCGAAACCAGCAGAGGCGAGGCTACGCTTTACAATAGCGTTCAGACATTTATGTGTCCTCCGTTTATGTGTGATTCGTCCTCGGCTTTTCTTGCAGCTTAGGCCATGGTAGCCTCGAGCATCCGCCCATTCACCGCAAACGAAGCGGTGTGGGGTAATGACCGGTGCCCCTAGACGCAAACCAACGGCGATTCTTACCATGGAGTCCGTAAGAAGGTTGCCAAGCGAGGCAACCGGAAGCGCTCCCAACCATGCCCCATTTTCTTTCGTACTCACACCTCGCAACCTCGCCTGCTCGGAGATGTCATTCCCGGCTGCCGTTCAGTCGATCCGCAGTGTCGTGGATTATGGGGTCGTCCCAAACTTTCTGAATTGGTCCCGCGTCAGAGGGTGGGAGGTCATGCTGGGTTATTTGGCGCATCCAACGCATCCCACAACGCAACGGGGAACGGCCGACCCACCGGCAATCGCGCTGTCGGGATGCCTACCTCAACAGCGACGCGTTTCTCTGCCCAGCCGACCGATTTGCAATAAAAACAGCAACAGAACAACTCGACAGCGCAGTTGACCAACTGGACGGGCGTTACATGGCAGACGGTCGCACAGGGCAACGAATTTCTCCAGCGGATAGGAATCGTGCTTCCCTAACGTCGTGGCTGCTGCCAGATGCCGCTGATGCATCCCACATTCCGTATTGGCAATACCGGCGGCGTTGCTAATCTGCAGTTCCAGCGTGCAACGACGCAGATGTACACATTGCAGCCGGATGCCAATGCGATGGCGAGCCACATAACCGAGCATATCGCTCAGCAGCAGCAGGTCGACGGTCGTCATCGGGCAGTTGCTGTAGGGATCCATCACGAGATGCTTCGTGCCCGGCTGCAGGCGCTTGTACACGGTCGCCATGCACAGGAAGCGACTATGTCGCCACTTGGCGGACATATGGTCGCCGATCACGACACATCCACGCAGCGCCGGCGTGTCGATCATGCGATTCCACGCTGCGCACACCGTGCGCACCTTCATCTGCGTCACCGTGTCCAAGTGCGAGAACACCTGCCGTCCCGCAACTCCACCACGTCAACTTTGTACGGCAAGGACAGGCCACGCCATTCGCCGTCATTCAACCGCTTGATGAGCTCCTCTGCTTCTTCAGCCGACAGGGAACTTAATTCAACGTCCACCGGCACAGTACCCTTGACGAAGGTCCCGGGACGAATGTAACGGTGTCGGTCCAGTGGCCTCCTCAGCGGCCAACGGATGCGTTCAACGGGGAGGATGTCCGTGCAGCGCACTCCCTTGTCCTTGCGTCGCCAATGGACGACAGTGCCTCCGTACAGTGTCATCGGCCAAATGCGTCCTAAAGCGGCCGCTTCACCACGCAGCCAAATCAGCGGGCCCGTTGGCGATTCTGGCACCAGCACTTCCACAGGAAATGCTGCGAAATCTTTACTGTAAGCGCGGTGTGGATCGGCTTCGCTCGCCACGCTAGGTAGGAAGAGCCGGTCGAATGGAACGCATTCACGTCGTCGGTTGGGGTACAGCAGATCGACGACGAGGCCGCTGTCGGCCACGTCCACCACGCGTCCACACCGCATCATCCCGTCGTCGCCCAGGATGTCCACACTGTTACCGTAGTGCAAAAGACTGAGTATGGCAGTCCGATGATGTGGAGCAAGCAATGGGCTAAACACGGTTCTTGTTCTGGACAACGGACCACAACATGTACCGCGGAGCTTCGTAATAACGTGCTCTTCCTGACAACTGCGGAAACGAAATTTAAAGAAAATGAGAATTCATTATCCAATGAAGAACGAAGATCGAAGTACCGTGAAATCTTCCTACAGGTAGAGAGCTATGACAAACCTACCTGTATATTTTGGCCACACCATAACCAGATGTATTCAGCTAATAGTGAATTTTCCAATTGAAGCCCATGCTGAAAATCTTACGTATTGCATTCGTACGAGTTTAGACCCGGATCGTTCACAAGCCGAATATCGTATCATGTGATGCAAAAACCGGCGAACCACATTCCAGGGCGCTGCAAAAAGCTAATTTTCTATGGAACCGGGTCTACTTTTCCACACCTGCCATGCAATGCTGCTGTGAATCATGGGGCTGCTAAATCATAAAACCTGATAATTTTGCTGTTTAGTACGGCATGGTATAGCCATACTGTACTCTCGGGCCCTGGCCCCTAGTCTTTCTGCTATAACTATATGAGCGGATGAGGTACGCATGCCTCCGCTTGTCGCCTGGCGATGTGCTGTTTGTTGCTGTGTCTCGAATGTCCTTGGTTCTCGGTAGAGCCGTTTTTTTGTAATCAGCTTTACGTCCTGTTCTAAACTTCTAGCTGCGCTGTATCACAGCACGCTGTTTTCTTCTACGCTTTTCGTTCTTTTCTGAAAATTTAAAGCAACTTTATACATGCAATACACGTTGATCGACCGAAGCGTAGCGAAGGTCTTCTGTGTTCAAGATAAAGCAAATTGTGGTGTCCGGGGGTATACTGTTTTTTACGTCAATCTATACCTATACGGGAATGCTGCTTTTTACGTCAATCTTTGGCCTTTTATAAACCGTCACCTGCGTCACCAAATCCACCACTTCATACCGTATACAGCAGGTAACTCTGCCATTGACTGCTTTGCAACGATTCGTTGGTCAGCAAGTTGTAGTCAGCAACAAGTCGGTCAGCAAAATGAAGGTCATAAAGTTGTCGTGATACCCATGTAGTCGGTCAGCAAAATGAAGGTCATAAAGTTGTCGTGATACCCATGTACACTTAAGGTACACTGTACAGGCAAGTGGTGAATAGCTTAATTTTTAATTATAATGGATGTATCTTCTGGTGGAGCTGCGCCATCCACCAAATCCAGTTTTCCCTGCCAAATTTGCGGATTTGTTTGCACTACCAAGAGCGCCTTCACCAACCACAGTGGGAGCAACAAGTGTAAGGAGAATCTGTTACGTCGACAGCGCGGTCTGGACCAGCCTGTCCCTGGGGAAGCCTCGATCACGGTCTCTAGCTCCAGTCTTCTGAACCAGGTGAAGTTTTTGAAAAAGAACTGTAGATTAGTCAAACGGATACCTAAAGGCGCTCGCAGAGCAGTTGCCTCAGCTGTCACACGCATAATCTCTCGATGTGTCACGGAAAATTCAGTACAATCATGGGAAGCTTTGCTTAGTTTTGCATATTTTGCTTTTCGTTTGCCGGGAAGAACCAAGAATGACCGCACTGAATCCCTTGCTACATTAATTAAGTCCAACATCGCTAATTATGAGTCGGGTGTAAAGGATATCCCCTTAGCTACAGTTCAGCCACTAAAGCCTTTTGACTTGCAAAAATTTGTGCAGGGAAAAATCCAAAATGGCGATGTATCGGGTGCTGTTCGCGTTCTTTGTTCCGAAGACGCCTTGGCACCACGCACAGCAGCTACTTTCGCAGAATTACAGAACAAACATCCGGGTGCCGACCCAGATGCTTGCTACCCTCCATTGCCTTCAGCTCAGGCCGAACCAGTTAGCCGGGTTACACAGAAAGAGATTTTCGAAGCGGTTATGAGATTTCCACACGATTCCGCTGGTGGTCTTGACGGGTTTCGGCCACAGCATTTCAAAGACATGATCAGTGATATTAAAAGCGATAGTTCCGCCCAACTGTGTGAGAAGCTAGCACTACTAGCGGACCTTATGCTTTCCGGTCAGGTTCCCAAGGAGATTTTACCAGTACTTTACGGAGCCAATTTAACAGCTCTAAATAAAAAAGGGGGAGGTATTAGGCCGATAGCAGCTGGTAGTGTTTTACGTCGAGTTGTAGCCAAAATCGTAGTGAAGCGTGTACAACAGCAGATGGGAGAAAAGCTAAGGCCGAATCAGCTAGGTTTTGGTACCCCCGGCGGTTGTGAAGCAGTGGTACATGCAGCAAGACAGTTTATCTCTACTCCTTCAGACGATGTGCAAGTCCTCGTGAAATTTGATTTTCGAAATGCCTTCAATACGATTTATCGCGATAAAATGTTGCAGTGTGTCCAGTCACAGCTCCCAGAATACGTTCGTTTCATCGACCAG